CAATAATACTCCCACTTACTTCTTAACATATGAGTTTCTCTCTCAAGGAGCATTCCTTGACGAGCATAAACAAATATTTAAAAGTTAGTGTGGATTCTCGACAAGAAAACACTTCATATAATTGGTCTTAGTTTATCCTTTGTTTTAACCAAAACATCATAACTTCCAATTCCAAATGTGCTAGAGTAAGAAAACATTATTACTTCACATTTCATGAGGTGTTATAAACATACTTAGTTCGAAATAAGTTTCAAGATACGATGTATAGTAACTAGAGTATGACTCTAAAACTTGATTGGAAACGAAGTATGGCTCATCTCTCGATCGAACCATTTCAACAATATCTAATTCCTCTTCTTAGTCAAAAAATTGCACCAAGATGTTCTTCGAGGATTAATTGTGATAAAGTTCAACAATCATTAAGATGATCATAAAACATGATACTAAAGTACTCTCATTTCCTTTCAGATTGGAGAAACTTTTATCTTTCTGCCTAATAGATTCTTCATATTCTTTCTGCTACCTTTTTGAAACTCTTTCAAAGTATCAGAATTGTGCTTAATCTTATAAATACAACCATGTTTACTGAAGCATCAGTAAATCATGATGAATAAAGTTATCATCCTTTGTGGTGGATCTGAATAGTCCATATCAACATGTAGTAGATCCATTAGTCTTTCACTTTGACTCACATAACCATATGATCAGCGAATTAGTCATAATCTTCCAACGATCAAGATTATCATACATCACACTATTCAAATTGCATGGCTCCAAGTTTATATCCATTTGAAACTTGGGTGATGAGAATTCATTTTCACTTGGTTAATTATGACAATACCACAAGTGATACAACAAGAATCAAATACAAATTAACATTGCTAATAATAGAAATATAACCACCAATTTTCATAAATGCCATTGCAAGGAAATATAAAGTAAACTAGATAAATCAAAAATTCACTTTTAATAATGATAAACGAAAAATTTGGAACTTGTCATTACAATGCAAAAATGAAAATTATGTTTCTAAACATCTCCTAAGCAATCTATTAAGTTATCATAACTCCTAAGCAGTAGCTTCCAAAATCTGATTATCGAACCATGCGACAAAATTCCATTTCTCACGATCAGATTCAACTCACTCTTCTTAAGCTTCCATCTACAAATAGGAACTTATTAAAATAATGGAGGTAGATAATGGATGTACCTGAAGTGGAGTCATACGACTTGACTTTACCATCTCTGAGACCTTTCAGGTAGTCAGGGCAGCTTCGCAACCAATGCCCCTCTAATTGGCAATAGAAACATATGGACCTTTTAGGATTAGCACATGGAACTATCTCAGAACTAGTCTTTCTCTTTACCACATGGTCAGACGGTTTGACCTTGGCCGATCCCTTTCTATTGGGAATAGAAATCTGTTCTGGACTACCATTGTCACCATTGTCAATATCCATGGAAATTTTGGACTCAGATCCTTCAAACACTTTTGTTTCACTTATGCTCGTAAGCATTTCTGCTTCAGCAACAATCAACATAAGTGTTAGATCAATTAGGTCCACGTCATGGTCACTCATATAATAGTCTTCAATGAAATAACTATATGACTCAGGAAGCGAAAGCAGAACCAAGTCAATGGCCAGCTCCCTTGGGAAAACAACACCCAACATATCCAATCTGTCAATGTACGATTTCCAGAACATGCGCACACACAAACTTTCCATCTTGATGTTTACATGCCAACAGGGCTCGAGTAATTTCGTATTTTTCAACTTGAAGAAAGCATGACTTAAGGAGAGTCACTGGAGGAGGAGGAGGAAGAGTTGAAGAAGCATGAACTCCATTTCCACCATTGCTCGAAGAAGGGAACACACTTTCACCTTGAACAAAATGTGGAAGATCATCTTCAAAAGGTAGAGGAAAAACATTTCCAGAAGAACGAAGAAGACCATTGTTGTCTAAACTTGACATCTATAATAGATGAAAAGAGAATTCAAGTTAGTTGATTTTAACCCTTAATAATTAACCCATAAATTTAAATTAAGGTTAGGATCCATATTTTCGATTCGAACTTTGAAGAGGGATGCTATAATCAAATTCGAATCTATTTTAGGTAGGTAAGGCTTTTACCAATTTCAATCTTATGAAACTCCTAAATCTTTTGAGATTCATTGAATCTAATCAATGACATGTTGAATCTCGATTATGCTCTCAGTTTTGTGACTGGGATGCCGATGATCACAAACGAGATGTGAATAACCATGCAAATTAGCTTGGTACTCCCGATGTCATTTATCATCTTATTTTAATGTGCCGGTTAACCACACGCACTCCATTAATCAACGATAATTTTCGAGACACCCATTACCATCTTTATTACTCCCACATTAGTGTGCCGGTTAACCACACACGCTCCACTAATGACTTATAAAGTGTTATGTGCAATTTCATGGATTAACATACAAATTCACATTTTTCCTAAAGTAACTAAGAGTGAGATTTTAAAATAGTTTAGTTACTTTTTAATCGCATTATACTTATTAATGAGAATTAATTGTCCTATCAAATCCGTTCGGCTAACGACCCTCCACCAATCAAGGGAGCGGTGGGTAAGAGTGGATACCCAATGATGACCATTTTATAGACCACTTCCTTAAACTCCCCTTATAGTTTGGCTTCGTGAATGAGGCGTACTAGCGGTTCGACTGATTTAGTCTTATACATATAGTAAATATTAAACATTTCATTTTACATATAGTACAAGGTGTATTTTAAACATTTCAAGATACTAGGTTTAATTACTAAATTTCAAAAAATTAAAACCATTTAATTTAAATTTAAAATTAAACCAAATGATTTAATAATTATCTATTAATTAAACATTTAATTAATTTATTAAATCAGTTGAGGATTATCCAATTAAATTAATCAAGATAATTTAATCCTAATCCTCTTCCCCTAATTTTCGAAAATCAGGGGAGGGATAAAACAAATTTTATAATTATCCAATTAATCAAATAAACAGATAATTACAAAAAATAAGAAAATCCCTATCAAAACCCTAATTTTCGAAAAAAGCTTATCTTGGGGAGGAAGGAAAGGATTTCAATCCTTGCCATTTTCGAAACCTTAAGGGTTAAGGAAACCCTAATTTCGAAAATTGTAGGGCAAGGGAAAGGATTAAAAACCTTTCCATAATTTCGAAACTTAGGGCTCAAGGAAACCCTAATTTCGAAAATCCCTAAGTCCAAAAGGGTTTAATTGCCATAAACCCTAATAGATCAAATTCAACAATTGTAATTCATTCAATAGAAAACAAGCCAAGACTCTGGTACCACTGATGAGTTTTGAGCATAACAAACAAAAACCTATGTGTGCATTCAACCATAATTGAAGATCTATGTTTTCTCTAATTAAACATACAACATTTGAACATCAATTGGGAAACCCTAGGAATCCTATACTATTTTCAAAATTAGCGTCTAGGGTTAGAAAAATACATTTGATTGTTATTGATGAATAACAAGAAACCGTTATGTTGTTGAAGCTTAGAGAGCAAGTACCACAAATGTCGTGTCTCTAATGGTTCACACCCAAACCTAGCGACAAAAGAGCTTGAAAAGAGAGAGAGAGAGAGAGAGAGAGAGAGAGAGAGAGAGAGAGAGAGAGAGAGAGAGAGGTAGAATTTCGGCCCTAGCTTCTCTAACAATACTTAGACGAAAATATGAGGCTTAGGGGTCTTTCTATAGTTTATCCAGAAACCCTAGATAAGTCCCAAAACAATAAAATAACATTATCTTACTTTTGGTATTTATCTGGTTTCCTAATTATCCTCCAATGATAATTCTAGATATTCTAGATATTCTAGATCCTCTAGAACCATAGAAAAACGTCCAAGGCTACCCACTCATTTTATATGCATCACAGGTAGCGGTGTTTAGACTACTGAAGACTTAAATAGGATACTGAGTGATTGAATAAAGGATCTGCAATATTGTTCAGGACCATTGGGCCTTTACGCTGTAACATATATAATGTATCGATTTATGACATCCTTAGGATTTTATTTGAAAAAATAATTGTACTGAAAAAGTTTTTAAAATACTGAGATTTCCCGCAAATAAATTATTATGATGTTTAAAGCGTAAAAAAGAGTTCTTTTTGGTTCTGAAAATTAGAGGATGTCACATTATGTTTTTATAAAAAACAAACATTTAATATTAAATAAAAAAGTTACAATAGATTAAAACTTAAAAGACGACTTCATAAATTAAAACACAATTTAATACCTAAAAACATGATTTAATACCTAAAAAACATGACTTAATATCTAAAAAGCATGACTTAATACCTAAAATTTAAAACACGACTCAATACTAAAACATAATTTAAAACTAGATTGAAGACATAAATCATACTACTTATCCCAGTTATATTATTTTGCAATCTTCGCCGTTACATCTACACAATCTTCTGATGATCTTTTTCAGACAATTTTTCTTCATTTTTGAAAAAAAGCTTTAGCGCATAGTAGTTTTCTCTTTTCTTTCCCACTTCGAAATATTTTTCCAGCTTACTGTCCAACCCATGGATATCGTTCCTCATCTCCACTTCACTTGATGAACTTTGAGCACCTTTTAACTTCCTTTTAGCTTTATCTCGTCCCATAGGACGAGTTGGCACTTCATATGGATCGTCGTTGGTGAGGTCATTCTCGATATGCGCATCAGAAGATTGACTAAGGGTTAACTCGAAAGTTCTGATTCGTTTGGACATACCCATAAAATCATCAAGCAACATGCTGAAAATGTCATAATCGGCTAAAATGAAAAAATTAACTGGTTTCTTGAGTTTTTCTATTAAAAAAAAATTAAAAGTTAAACATTAAATTTTATTAAATATAAGTACTTCTATGAAAATTTCATAATATAATAATTGCAAACAATTTCTTAAATGAAATATCATATCTTTTAAAAAGAGATGCTACCCCTGTACCCCAACCATTTGAGGCCACACTTTACAACTTTTGTCTTAACCCCCCACCAACGGCCTCAACGAGCACTTTCATAGTGTGGTTTGATCTGGGTAAGAGAAACTATGGATCCCCATATCTTCATAGCACGGGCGGAGGCGCAACGGTGGCTCGGTATCGCCGAGAAACTGCTTATGAGCCACGACCTAGTCGGCTCCAAGACATTTGCGATCCGAGCACGAGAGTCTGACCCCAGACTTGAAGCTGCTGATCAGATCCTAGCAGTTGTTGATACGCTCATCGCTGCCGAGAAACAGGTCGTCGGAAATAATGGCGTGCAGCAGCCCGATTTCTACGCGATCCTTCAACTCGTCCGGTTTGTTCAGGACACGGACCACATCGCCTCCCAGTACCAACGGCTCGCCTTCATCCTAAACCCTCATCAAAATCGGTTCCCTTACTCCGATCAAGCGTTTCAGATTGTTAACGAAGCTTGGTCCGTGTTGTCGAACCCTATGAGGAAATCTATGTATGATTCGGAGCTTGATTTTGCGCCGCAACTGCAGATGAACACTATAGGGTTTAACCTCGAGGAACAGCATCAGCAGCAACAGCAGCAAGAACAACACAATTTTTTTTCGATTGACTATATGGGGTCGGATCATCAGCAGAAATCGCCGGAGCAAGAGCAGACGTTTCAAACTAGGGTACAACGGACTCGTCAACAGCAGGAATCGCAGCAGCATAATTTTCTGTCACGAAATCAATCTGCACCTGCTCACGAGGAGGATGAGCAATTGTTTCAGCATCATGAGCAGGAGCAATTGTTTCAGCCACAGGTTGAACCTTTAGAAGTCATGTCTACCCCGTATCAACAAAATCCACCACAATCTCATCAGCCGCAGCCATCTATGCAATCCACAACTCCGCCTCCTCCTGCAGTACCACCACAACCTCCGTTATCTTGGCCACAAGCACCATCTCTGTCACAGCGACAGCAGCCACACCAGAAACAGCAACCTCCATTGCAGCCCCAACAACAAGAAGCATGGGCAGAACAAAATGCTGGTCCTGTTCAGTCTCCTAATCAGGTTAATAGTAACAATGGTGCAAAGGAGAAGGAAACTGAAACAGAAACAGAAGCAGAAGCTGTGAATGTGGATGAGTCACCTACATTTTGGACTGCATGTCCTTACTGTTTCTACATGTATGAGTATCAAAGGATCTATGCAGAGTGCACCATCCGTTGTGACAACTGTAAAAGGGCATTTCAGGCTGTAAGTATTTCCTCCCCACCATTAATGGCAGAAGGAAAGGAAGACTATTTCTATTGTTGGGGATACTTCCCTTTAGGGGTTTCAATCTCACATCTGCCAAAAACAGCTAGAACGAACTCCAAGTGGACACCTTTTTCACCTCTCCATGATGCCTCAAGTAATGTTCAGAACCATTTAAATAGTAGGGAAGCCCCAAAGAAGAATACTTTTGTGAAGAAGGATTTGGGGCCACGAATCTACATAGATGATATCACTGATGATATATTTACAGGAATCTCTGAACCTAGTGATGATTCTGATGTTGAATGGAATATGACCAGGGACAAAAGTTGAATATGATGTATTTGAAAAAAAAGTTGTGCAATGGGGAAGTTCTCTTATTTTGTCTACAAGAATGGGCCAGAAAGATCATATTTTGACCATCTTTTGCTGCATGTGCATCTGCTCAGAAAAAAAAGGTATGCATCAGTAGTTTGTGCCATATTCTTCAGTTATTATGATTTAGCATCGAGCTTTTGTTTGTTATGATCATTTATGTGATAACCTTTGCTAGATTCATACTATGAAGCTTTCGATTCTATAACTCACATTTCAATGTTTCATAATCAAAATACTGCATGTGCAAGGTTTCCTTCAAGAATCATCACACCAGCTTCTCTAATGTACCACACAGTAAAAGGTTTGACCATCACTTCGGGAAATTTTGGGAAATCAGAATTCAACTCAACCATGTTGAAGCAACCCCAAACTACTTTTAGGACACTACTTCCACCATTATCATCATATTCATTTGTAGTTGTAACTTGTAAGCTGTTCAACTCCTTTTTCCTGCTCTAAAATCTGAATGATTGAAGATTTCTCGACCAATGCTTGCAAGAATTTTAGAACCCCATACACATTCCATGCCTGAGCGTGTTATAATTATGATAGTCATATCTAGCATAAATGATAATAAATAGAGCAAATTTGCAATTATATGAAAGCATAAGAAAGATTACAACTTGTTGATATGGACTTGCTTACACTCGGTCAATCTCAAAGTAATGGAATAGTAGAATGAACACAAAAGGCAGCTTAAAGATTAATCATTCCAATCATTCGAGAGGATTGGGTTCTCCAAGAACAAGTTCTTAACAAAATTTTCTAGCCTCTACCCTAGGAGAATAAAAGAAGCTTAAATACTTAACTTTTATGCCAACTCAGGAGACCATACCAAAAAGTGTGTTTCCCGCTACACACCTAAAAATGGGAGGAGCACAACCTTAAGGTTTTCTACCAATCACACACGACAAACCAAATTATTCATAGGGGCAATTTGGTCAATGAGCAAAAAGAGAGCTAGGCACGAAAATAATTACTTTGTTGGGTCTTTCTTGGGCCTTCCAAACTTCCTCTTGTAGACATGAATAACCGGGGGTTTATCATTACCGGTGGTCCAAACTTTCACATAGTAACGGGCAGCTAAATTCTCATATTTTCTTCGTGCCAAGCTTTGTTGTCTATACAGTTTCAATTTCACGTAAACCAAGTCCCCTTCTTGATACTCCACTTCCCTTGTCTTCTTTTAAGTTTGGTTTTGTATTTTTTGTTGAGTCCGCAACAAATGCACAACTCATCCAAAATAGCATCCATGTCTTATAGCAATTGATCAACTGCGTCCACCGGGGATATTGCCCTTTGTAACGGATGATGGGGGTGAGTCCCTACCGTACAAGGCTCAAAGCGGGGTGCATTTGGTGGCCGTATGTAAGGATGAATTATACCAAAATTCTGCCCAAAAAAGCCAGCGAGCCCATTTTTTGGTTTCTCCATAAAAAATACGTTGGTTCACCACTTCCGACCATCCGTTTGTGGGTGATAGGTCGTGCTTCTTTTGAGATGCACTCTATGTGATTTAAACAGCTCCGCCCAAAAGTGACTAAAAAAATTACGATCTCGATCATTAATTATATATAGAGGAAAACCGTAGAGGCGGACGATTTCCTTGATGAAACTGTTGGCAATTGTGGATGCTGAGAAAGGATGCTTGAGGGGAATAAAATGAGTATACTTACCAAGTCGGTCAACCACGACCCAAATGGTATCCTATCCATCGAACTTGGGTAACCCCTTGATAAAGTCCATGGTTATTTTGTCCCATGTTTGGGCCAAAAGAGGTATTGCTTAAAGCAACCCGATTGGAGTTGACGTGAGGGTTTTGTTTCTCTGACACACTTAAGAGTTTCTGATATATTCGATGATGTCGGCTTGCATTCCTGGCCAAAAAACCCCGACTGCTGCTATTTGGTAAGTCTTTTTCTCCCCTGCATGACCGGAGAATTGTGGAACTCCTGTATGATTCTGCCTTTAAGAGAAGTTGGCGTTGGAATCACCATCCGACCTTTGTATAAGACATTGTCTTGAAATAACGTAAACCCGTATGATTTCTGCCTTAAGAGAAGTTGGTGTTGGAATCACCGACCAACCTTTGTATAAGACATTGTCTTGAAATAGCGTAAACCCTTTATGAGTGCTCAGATCAAGTTTGGTTTTAGCTTTCTGCAGAAAGTCATCCTTCGTAATTTCCTCTTTGAGCTTTCCATACCCCGAGACTCATAGTCTCGCATTCTGCTACGATTTCTATCCTCGAGAGGGCATCAACTACTCTATTACTAGCTCCTAGGGCTGTTCATTATTTAGATACAACCGAATTGTCCAATTTGATAATTTGGATTGGACTATTTGGTTCGAATATTCAGATTTTTTGATTGAGTTTCAACAAAACCGAATTATTACTTTGGATTTTGGATTGATTTTGGTTTATAAAATAAGAACGAATTGTCCAAAAAATCCAAATAAAAATTTATTATTTATTTATTTTTAATATATATCTATAATTATTTATTATTTTTTTTACTTTTTTTTTTCAAAAAGTTTTACCTAATAAAAAATCTTAATATGTATTTTCTAAAAAAAGTTTTTATTTATAAAATATTAAGCTTTAATATATTTTTAGTAGTCGTTCATAACTTTAAACCACAACTAAGATATTTGTTTTTTTTTCTTTTATAAAGTTGGGTAGTATTCTAATTATATGTGCTTTTAAAAAAATGTTTCAATTTTCGAAAACCGAATTATAAAAACCGATCCAATCGAATTGTAATTCGATTAGATTGGATTGGATTTGAATTTAGTTTGGACTATTTAGATTTATGTTTTAAAAACCGAAATCAATTTGGATTCACTTGATTGGATCAGATCGAACCGATCCATCCAAACGAACACCCCTACTAGCTCTGGATCAATATTAAATTTCAATATTAAACCCTATTAGCTTCAACACACCCATTTTTGATAATTATGACCTATAACACGTTGCTCGAGTATGTACTTGAGACTAAGTTGATCCGTTCGAAAGATAAATCTTCTTCCCATTATGTAATGCCTCCACTTCAATACGACTTTAACAATGGCCATAAACTCTTTTTCATAAATAGATTTTGATCGGCCTGTGGTTCCTAAAGTGCAACTATAATAAGCTATTGACCTATTATATTGGATTAGAACCGCCCGTACCCCGACGTGTCAGTTTCAACCACGAAGGGTTTCTCCGACTCCGACATTGCTAAAAACGACATGATTGTCATGATGTCTTCGTCTGTCGAAAGCTTTTTCGACAACCTTGTTCCATCCAAATTTGTATTTTTTTAAGTTGCTCCGTGGCAAACTTCTGATGGTACTCGTTAGTCCCAAAAAAAACCTCATAAGCTCTTGATGTTTCGTGGTACGTGCCAATCTAACATGACTTGAATCTTGATGGTCTCAGTCGAGATCCCATTGGCTGAAATCTCATGACCAAGGTATGATAGACATGATTGTCCAAATTCACACTTCTTTAATTTGAGAGGGTTGATTTTATGCTAACCGTTCTAAGGCCATCGTGAGATGTCTTTGATGCATTTCTTTACTAGTATCATACACCAATATGTCATCAAAGAAAACAAGGACGAGCTCCCATAAATATGGCCAAAATATCTCATTCAATAAGGCTTGGAAGGTAGCAGGGGCGCTGGTAAGGTCAAAGGGTATCACCTTGAACTTGTAATGGCCATCGTAAGATCAAAAAATCGTATTGGGTATGTCTTCCGCCTTAGCCCGTATTTGATGGTATCCCGACTGGAGGTCAAGTTTGCTAAAAATGATCGATCTGTGTAACTCATCCAAGAGTTCGTCTATGAGGGGAATATGAAATTTTTTTGGGGACGGTTCAATCTGTCCTTGACAAGGATTACGGGACTAGAATAAGGACTCATGCTAATTTGTATCGCATCGGCAGTAACCATGTCTTTAGTCATCCGTTTGATTGTATCCGTTTGGTAATGGGTATCTTCAACCTCAACATTGAAGATGGAACAAAAGTGGGACAGTTGATTTCAGAAATCCCGGGCTCTCTTTCGTAGGAGTATCTTCAACCTCAACATTGTTTAACTCGATCCGAAGCTTTTTTTTTCTTTATGTAATTCTCTCTCCAAGTTTTTTAAGGATACCAGGGACTTGCCCAAAGTCGGGTCTCCTTTCAATTTGACTCGCCTTCCTCAAATGTTGAACTCCATCGTCTGATCCTTCCAATTGGTTTGAGTGGTACCAAGGTCCTGTGCCATTTCATCCCTAAGATTATGTCGGAGCTTCCGAATCAGAGGGATAATAACTATTCGATAATGTCGATTTGTTTTATCTATAATAACACCCCTAACATACTCCCCTCCTTGCTTTATTGTCCCCATTACCCATTCGGACCCATACCAAACTTGTAGCAATAAAATTATGGGTGTCCCCGAGATCAATCATGGCCACCACTAGTTGATTCATGATGTTTCCTTGCAGTTTCATCGTTTTTAGGGATGAGAGCCCTGCTACAGTGTTTAGAGATACCTCAATTGGGTGGTCAATTTCTAAAGTTTCCAATGTAACTCCTTCATTGGGTGTAAAGTCTTGCTCCTGCTCCTCACAAAGTTTGATCTCCTCTTTATCAACCAAAATCACATTGACTTGTGTTTTACAGCGATGGCCTGGTTACCATTTGTCATCACATTTGAAGCAAAGACCTCGACTTTTCTTTTCTGCTATTTGCGCTTCAGTCAATTAACAATCATCGCTCGTGTTTCGCCGGAAGGCGAGATTCGATTTCATTGGAAATGGCATAACAACAGAAGAAGGCAACGAATTACCCCATGACGATTTTGAATTGGCGCTCCAGTTCGGAACCCTAGTCAAATATATACTTGTACGTATTTATAGATTTGAGACATGCATAACTATTAGATGTTAGTTTGACACTAAATATCATGTTGTTTTTTCAGACTAATCTAATGTTTTGTTACGATAGTTTCAATCTCCCTTGTAGACAACGAATTAACCCCATGACGATTTTGAATTGGCGCTCCAGTTCGAAACCCTAGTCAAATATATACTTGTACGTATTTATAGATTTGAGACATGCATAACTATTAGATGTCAGTTTGACACTAAATATAATGTTGTTTTCAGACTAATCTAATGTTTTGTTACAATAGTTTCAATCTCCCTTGTAGATATCCATTACGTTTACATGGTAGATACATATTCATCCCATTCAAGATACCATTTTTTTCTTGGTTTCTTTTAACAAATCCGTTAAATTTAAGAAAAAAAAACTATAACAGATATAAATATTTCAATTATCCCTATAAAATTCCTTTTGGGATTGCAACATATTTGAAAACTCAAAAAGACAGATAACGGTAAATTTCTTAGTTACCCTCTTTAAGGAGTGTCCTCGTCCTCAAACGTCATCTTCAATTTCACACCTATAGTAAATTGCATTCACACCATCTATGTACTTGTTCAAGCCTATGATGAATTTACTTTCCCTGCCAAATTTCAAGAACTCAATCAAGATCCCAACTTTTTCTTTATATGACAACTTTTAATTAACATTAA